CTTTTTTTGTACTTTCACCACCCATTCATGGTCTGCAATGGTTTATTGTCGGAAAAATAATGTTTTGAAGAATCTAGCACGTAATCTTTCAAATTGTTTTGTCTGCTCGCATCGCATAGTTATGTTTTGATGGTAATCGTTTATTGATTATTTTGGTATTTCTGCTAAGGGTTAAGATGTGAAGATTTTATTCGCCAATTTATTGTTCCATAACTCAGGAATGACTTAGGGTATCAAATGTACTGTTTTGAAGTTAGAAGTATATCATTTGTAGGAATAAGATCTTAAAAACTCTAAACGTCTCGTGAATCAGTAACATGGCTATTAAATGTGATCGCAACATCTTGATATGGTGGAGAATTTGTCGAGATCAAAAAGTCGACTAGTTAAACTACTAACTAACTCAGATAATCTTCAAATCGAACCACACTTCGGTTTTCCGCCGTAAAACGAAAGTCTTGACGTCTTATGCATGTTGGCCCGCTTTACATGGTTTTGATGTGAGTCAGTTTATTTTCAGGCACTAAACGCGTCTCAAGGCCGTTGCAATTCATTGAAGATGAAGAACGTGCAATTGAAGAGCTGACTCAGCTATACCGTGAAAATGTTGGCGATGAGGTGGTCGTGCGGGTCGAACGATGCGCCAACTCAGCTGACGCCGCTGCTCAATGTCCCGTCTGGACGAATACGCCCCATTTTCGCGCGTGAACGGATTGTTTGCTGACGTCATTGTTTGCAGAGTAGAGTAAAATCTAATCCCACTTTTATTCCCACTTTTTCTTCTCTCAGTATCATTACCTTTCTCTTTTTGTTACCTTATCTTCTTTCGTAGGGTATCTAGTTCTTCAGTTCCGATTTTTTTAGTTGGGTTGTTTCTAGGTAAACCTTTTTGCAGTTTTTTTTGGATTTGGTTTTGCGTGTGCATGACGGAAGCTAATCTTGTTAGTGGGTTTGGCTTGGCTATGAGACACTGGCCCTTGCTAGTTTCCAGATGTGTCGCAACCAAGTGC